TTTGGTCAGAATTTAATGGGATGATGCCTTTTCAGCAGCTCAGTGTAGTAAATGCCCAATAAATATTGCTATTATTTTTCAGTTGAAAATGAAAGTACCAAGACATATAAGACATGTTCATACTTTCTATTTATCTCTCTTTATATGTTTTTCAATATCTTTCTCTCAAAACACACACACACATGCACACACACCACATATTTTATATAGAATCACATCAGTAAAAATAATGAAGTGCCAAAAGGATTAATTATCACTTACAATTTATCATTCTTCAACACTTAAAACTTCTGCCAAACAAAAACAAATCAAAACTTAATTGAGGACAGACTTTTGTCAAGATAACTATTGCAATAGAGCATTCTCTGCTCCAACCTCAGGATCTGTAAGTGTCTCAAAACTAAGCAGAAAAAGGCTTTTCTTTTATAGGAAGAGTTGAGTAAGTCTGGCAGGAATGTTATTGGGAAAGGCAGCAATCAATGAAGACTAGAAAACAGCATGATTGCAGTGGTTCAAGAGAAAAATGTTCCTGCCTGTGATGGGCTGATTCTCAGAATGAGTTGTTAAAGGGTGAAAGGATGGAAAGCTATATTCTGCATCTTATTGGTTGCTGAACCAAGCCACAGTTTAGGGGTCTATGGGAAGGAGAGAAGTCTGACTAAAGTTTGGTCAACCTAGTTAGTAGGTAAGCAATAGGCAATTATGAACACTTGGTCATTACATATCACTTCTATTTCACTGACCAAAGCAAGTCAGAAAGCTATACCCATTTTAGAGGAGGAAGGAAAGTACTATCGCAATGTGTCAAATAGGATAAGAATATATTTATGAATAGACCAACTGACTACAACAGTAGCTCTCAATCTCTCCCTTCCTCTTCATAAAAGAAATAGATCTCCTGACAACAGGTGACTTCTACCAGTGTGACCTTGCCTTACATAAGGAGGTTTCAAAATGCTATTCTTGCAGGAACTTGACCAAGGTATCTTAAAATGGAAAAAAGTATGCATTTTCCCCAATGTTCATTAAGAAATTAGAACAACAGATTGAATTATTTGCAGTTATATATTTTTCTTTCATAAATGTTTAACTTCAATAACTGCTATAACCTATAATCTATTAATGTTATGCACTAGGATAATTTATTTAGCCCTCAAGGTATTCTATAGGTACTTTGCCACATGAATAGATTTGAGTAGCTCTACTGCATCTCATAGGCCTGAGGGAATCTCTATCTTCTCTATCTAGTAGATCAAAAACTCTGGATAACAAATCTAGATAAATCATCCATTCTATTTACAAATCATATGAGCAAGTAGAGATAAGAATATCTGCCTAGGGGTGCCTAAGGGGGTGCAATGTTAAGCAGTTAAGCAACTGACTCTTGATTTTGGCTCAGGTCACGATCTCAGGGTTGTGAGATTTCACATGGGCACTCTGTTTAGCAGGGAGCCTGCTTGGGATTCTCTCTCCCTCTCCCTCGTCTCCCTCATGTCTCCTCCCACCCAGAGTTTCTCTCTCTTAAAAAAAAAAGAAAAAAAAAAGAATATCTGCCTAGTGAAGGGGTAGTCATGAAGATGAAATGACGTAATGTGAATGTGCTTTGCAAATGTAAAGGCCTAAATAAATGGAGAGGATTATTATTTATATGTCAGAGTCTGTTCATTAGAGTTTGACTCTAAGCCGGGAACACTTTCTATACTTATTCCACTTAATTATTCCTAAAAAATAATGAGTTACTATTTCTATGCTACAGATGAGGAAACTGAAGCTCAAAAAGTAGAGCCCACATAATACTCTTTTAACTCATAAATTGTAAGACCAAGTTTCACTAAGCCCCCTTTGATCAAAAAGCCCATAATCATTAATTAATTTCCTTTCCTCTGATCCACACATCAGATAAATAAAAACCATTAAAAGCATTACTTAATTTCAAGAAAACTGGGGCACCGCGGTGGCTCAGTCAATTAAGTGCTCTACTCTTGATTTCCGCACAAGTCATGATCTCAGGGTCATGAGATGAAGCCCCATTTCAAGCTCCATGCTCAGTGGAGAGTCTGCTTGATATACTCTCTTTCTCTCTTCCCCTGCTGGTGCTTTCTCTCTAACATAAATAAATCTTAAAAGAAAAGAAAAAGATAACCAAAAAGATCCAGTATTCCTCACCTGCCACAAGCCTTATTCCAGGTCATGAAATGATTGTATGCTAATGAATTCTTCATCGGGATCCTGCAAACAATGCGCCCTCTGCTTTGACTAGTGGAGAAGTCAGGAACTGTGAAAGAAGCAGGTATGTTAAGTAAAGAGGTGCTACCAAACATGCATATCCTCCTCTGATTGTAACTACATTCCCCTTAATACTCTTTGTCTCTTATTTTTAGAGGTATGGCCTTGAGGAAAGAATTAATTATAATAAGCCATCACTCTTGCCCACTAATAAAACACTTTTCACAAACTTCAGGCTAGGTATATATTTTCCTATTAAAGATTGAAATGACAGGTCATTTCTTCCCTGGCGAAGGCCAAAGGACAGATCTTGATGTACTGCTTTTAAGAGATACTCATATGATTTTAAAGAAATTTCATATTATAATCAGAAGCTAAATTCCTTAGAGTGAAATCATCTCTTCTTTATTCTAAGATACCCATGCGTGTTTGCATCTGGACGACACACACACGTACTTACAAATGTCCTTAGAAATACACACACTAACCCTTACTTCGGAAATAGGGACTGCATTGACAGCATGATAGACTCCATACCCAAAAACACAGATGGGAAAGAGTCAGCCTTTTGGGGATAGTGGGCTCTGTCTTTTAAATTTTGTAATAACTTGAGCAGATTACTTCTCCACTTTAAAATGTGGTTTCCACATCTTTTTTTTTTTATAATTTTTTTTTTAAATTTATGATAGTCACAGAGAGAGAGAGAGAGAGAGAGAGAGAGAGACAGAGACACAGGCAGAGGGAGAAGCAGGCTCCATGCACCGGGAGCCCGATGTGGGACTCCATCCCGGGTTTCCAGGATCGCGCCCTGGGCCAAAGGCAGGTGCCAAACCGCTGCGCCACCCAGGGATCCCCGGTTTCCACATCTATATGTTGGACCCTGGCTCACGGGTGCCAACGTGGCCCGGTGGACGCCCCAGAGACCCAGACCCCAGACAGGCAGATGCAATTAGCAAGAGGGTTTATTGAACGTTTGCGCAAACGGGCTCCCCGCCTCCGAGGAGGAAAAGAGCCCCGATTAGCAATTACAGGGATCTTTTAAAAGGCAAAAGGAAAGAAACTGCCTAAAGACAAAAGAACCGCGGGAGTCGCATGAGCATCCAGGTTGATTTCGGGGAGGGTCAACATGAACCTATTCAGGGACATTCCAATCAGGGTGTGGGGGGGGGGGAAACGGTTTTCTTATTGTAAACAGAATGCTTTTAGTTGCTAAAATTTCAGGAAGAAGACTGGATGGGCTGCCTCTGGATTAGGGCTGGCCCTACTTACAAGGGGGGAGGTTTCTTCATTCCCTCCTCTTGTTTGGGCTGATTTTAACCTTAAAATCTTAGGGAACATTTATTTTTTCAGTTTGGAGGGCCCGACATTGCTGAGTTAATACCAGAGCTTGGGTAACAGACAATCTTTCTCGGATGAACTGGAGCAGCCGGTTGAGGACGCAGGGGCCGAAAGTTAGCAGCAGGAGCAGGATAACTAGAGGCCCAGAATGGTAGAGATTAGGGTGGTCAACCAGGGAGACTGGTTAAACCAGCTTTCAAACCAGCCCTGCTGGGCCTCCCGGTCCCTTTGTCTTTTATTTAACCTTTCCCTGAGTTTGGCCATGGAGTCTCTGATGACTCCAGAATGGTCTGCATAGAAACAGCCTTCCTCTCCCAGGGCCGCACACAGTCCTCCCTCTTTCAGGACTAGTCAATCCAAGCCTCTCCTGTTGTGAAGTGCTACTTCTGAAAGTGAGGGGAGGGACTGCTCTAGCTTAGAAACGGACTGCTCTAGTGTCCGTAGATCCTCATCTACAGCTGTTTGGAGTTCTATATAACGTCGTGAGCCCTGGATCGGAGCAGCTGCGCCAGTACCCACCCCAGCAGCGACCCCTAGTCCCAACATAACGGCTAAGGTTAGGGAGACAGGTTCGCGCCGAAAACGGGTGGGATGTTTATCATACTGATTTTCTAGAGTTTCAGCAGGGTGATAGAACACCCTGGGTATGATCTGTACCATGACACAGAAGTCGTTTGAGCTATTTAGAACCTTAGCCGACACACAGGGGGTGAGGCCTTTGTTGCATGCCCACCAAGTTCCCGGCTGGGGCTCCAGGTAAGAATCAGTCCCCAAAATCGGGGTGGTAGTGTTGCAGAGTCTCTGGTAGCCCCGGGGGGGTGTTCCTATGCAGGTTCCCTGTCCTGTAACTTCTGTAAGGGTGAGTTGTGGTTGGAGTCGGGTGTGCATCCCTGAGTGCTAGTGATGTTATTATAGGTCCCTGAAGTAGCAATTCCCTCATAATAAGGGGGGGGGGGGATGCAAGGCAGAGCCAGCAGGATTTAGTTACATCGGGGCTGGTTCGATTAAGGGCCAGGAATGCCCCTATGATAAGATTAAACAGTCATTGTCCCGTCTCGGGTGACGACCCAGGGGTTGGAGTGACCGCGAAGTTAGTGGGTGCGGCGCTCCCTGCGGCTAGGGCCGGGGCAGCTCTTTGTTCCCCGAGGACCGCGTTAGGCCCGATCGCCACGGGGTCTGGGGATTCTATTTTTAGTTTAATTCTGAATATAAAACCATCATCTGTCCTTTATTTGTATAACCTGAGTCCCCACGTATATCCATTGGCCCAGTAAGTAGCCCTTTTTCCGGGCTCCGTGAAGGATATCCGTAGGGGATGACACCACCCTTGGCAGGGCCCATAATTAAGGGTTTTCCATTTGCTAAATGTCGGGTGAGTATAGTTAGCCTTGACAGTGATATAATCCCAGGAGGAGGAGGGCCTCCATTCTGTATTCCCCTCCTCCACAGGTGGGATTTAGCCTGCGATCTCTGTGGTGCCCGGGACAGACATAAAAGGGAAGAGTGCTTAGCATGGCCCTTCTGTCAGGCGTGCCACATCCTCCCCATGGGTCTAATCCCAGTCGCCCTGGAGGGCTTTCTTGGTTAGGGGCTCTAGAGGTGTCGAAGTATCCCTCTAGGTCCCATGGGCTAGGGGCCCCTATGGTTAGCTTGCATAGGTCAGGATATAGGTTAGGCCACCAGGTTCCCACGGGGGCGGTCTTAGTTATAGACCAGACCTCGTCACCCCCAGACGTTAGTACCTGCCAGGTTAACCTTTTGAGGGCATGAGGGTCACCTTTGGCGGAGGTGAAGAGCGCTAGGAGAGGTAGGAATATAACAACTGTCATTGAACAATTTTTGAAAGTCTTATCTTGAGCGGGTTTTGGGTGCGGTGGAGCTTCCATTGGAGTGGCTCGTCCGGTCTGTCCTGGCTGGCGTCAGCGGTGCTCGTTGATGGGGCGCGCTGGACGTGTGAGGCGTGGACCCAAGCAGCAATGCCGTCTACCTTTAAGGCGGTTGGGGTGGTCAGTAGGACAGTATATGGGCCCTTCCAGCGGGGCTCAAGCGTCCTGGACTGATGTCTCCTGACGTAGACGGAGTCCCCGATCTGGAACGGGTGTGGGCCGGTTGTGTCCCCGGGGCGGTAGACAGCCGCAAGGGGTTTCCAGATCTGGTGCTGGATAATCTGGAGCGCCTTTAGCCTGTCCTGTAAACCGGGAGTGTTAGCAAGAGGGTCAAGAGCAGAATCTAGTAAGTCCGTTACTGGTGGGGGACCTCCATAGAGAATCTCGTAAGGAGTTAGCCCATGGCGCGCGGGAGTGTTCCAGACTCGGAACAGAACCATAGGGAGGAGTTGGACCCAGTCTCTAGTGCCAGTCTCCAATGTCAATTTAGTTAGGGTCTCTTTAATTGTTCTATTCATTCTTTCTGACCTGAGCTCTGGGGTCTGTATGCACAATGTAATTTCCAATTTATCCCCAGTAATCTGGCCACCAACTGACTTACCTGGGAGATGAAGGCGGGGCCGTTGTCCGACCCTATTACCTTGGGCAGTCCAAACCGGGGGAAAATTTCTTCCAGGATTTTCTTGACAACCACCTGGGCGGTTTCTCGCTTGGTGGGGAAAGCTTCTGTCCAGCCTGAAAAGGTATCTATAAACACTAGGAGGTACTTGTTACCATATTTACCTGGCTTGATTTCGGTGAAGTCTACTTCCCAATTACTTCTGGGTCTTTCTCCCCTCATCCTGGTTCCCTCAGGCATCTTGAGGTGTTTGGTATTTACCTTAGCACAAGGTACACAAGCGTCGGTTACCTGTTGGATCAGGGAGGGGAGTTTGGGAATGTAATAGGTCTGACCTTCTCTCCGGAGGAGTGCTTTTAATTTTTTGTGTCCGAGGTGAGTCCATCGGTGGAGGTGAGTCACCAGTTCTTTGGCCCTTTTCTGGGGCAGGACCGTCTTCCCTTGGTGTTTCCAGACCTTCATTTGCTCGTCATATTTTGCCCCTATTTGCTGGACGATATCTAGGTCGCTGTCTGAGTACTCGAGAGAGAGTTGCCCCGGTGTCCGGACAGCCTCTGGTACTTGTAGGGAGAGGGCCTGTGGGCCTAGTGCAGCGGCCCGTGCTGTTTCATCGGCCATCCTGTTCCCCTCTGCTACTGGGTCATTGCCTCGCTGATGCCCAGGACAGTGAATTATACTCAGTTTTCTCGGCAGAAAGAGGGAATGGAGAAGATCTTGTATTTCTTCTCTGTTTTTGATGTTTTTACCTGCTGAGGTTAGGAGACCCCTTCTACGGTATATTTCTCCATGAACATGGGCAGTTGCAAAAGCATATCTGCTGTCAGTATAAATGTTGACCTTTTTGTCCTTAGCCTTTCTTAGGGCCTGAGTTAGGGCTATAAGCTCTGCCCTTTGAGCTGAAGTCCCAGGCTCTAAGGCACTGGCCCAAATGACAGCTTTCCCATCTACCACGGCTGCCCCAGCTTTACGCTCACCATTTCGTAGAAAGCTACTCCCATCGGTGTACCAGGTTGCTTCAGCATCTGGCAAAGGCTGGTCCGTCAAGTCCCCTCTGGTGCCATGGACTTCAGCTAGGATCTGGTGACAATCATGCATTACTAGGGAGGGGGACTCGGTTTCTGGAAGCAAGGTGGCCGGGTTTAGAGATGTAGCCGTTCCAAACTGTATCCGCTCAGAATTCAGTAACACGGCCTGATAATGGGTGACCCGGGCGTTTGAGAGCCATCGATCAGGGGGCTGGTGGATGACTGTCTCTACGGCGTGGGGGGCCACCACAGTGAGGGGTTGGCCAAAAGTCAACTTGTCTGAGTCTTTTACCAGGACTGCCACAGCCGCTATTATTCGGAGACATGGGGGCCATCCTGCAGCCACACTGTCTAATTTTTTTGAAAAGTATGCCACGGGCCTTTTACAGGGTCCCAGTTTTTGAGTTAGGACCCCTTTGGCTATTCCATTATGTTCATTGACATATAGCGTAAAAGGCTTGGTTACATCTGGGAGGCTCAGGGCAGGGGCGGTCAATAAGGCCCTTTTTATTTTGTCAAAAGCCAGTTGGTGCTCCTTTCCCCAGTGGTAGGGGGTGTTGGATTTCGTGAGAGGATATAGGGGAGCCGCCATCTCCGCAAACCCGGGTATCCAGAGGCGGCAGAACCCAGCACTGCCGAGGAACTCTCGTAGTCCTTTGGCATTAGTGGGTGCTGGGATCAGGGCTACAGCCTTTTTGTGGCTCTCCGTCAGCCACCTCTGGCCTCCTTCCAGGAGATATCCCAGATAGGTCACTTGTCTCTGGCCTATTTGGGCCTTTTTGGCAGAGGCCCTATACCCCAGTTCTCCCAGTCTCTCAAGCAGGGCCCCCGTACCTTTTACACAATCCTGTTCTGTCCTAGCCATCAGGAGCAAATCATCCACGTACTGCAGAAGGACGAGGTCCGGATGGCCAACTCGGAAATCTGCCAAATCCCAATGCAAGGCCTCATCGAACAAAGTGGGGATGTTTTTGAATCCCTGCGGCAGCCTTGTCCAAGTGAGTTGTCCTGAGAATCCCGTCTCAGGATCTTTCCATTCAAAAGCAAAAATAGGCTGGCTTTGAGAGCTTAACCTTAGGTGAAAGAATGCATCTTTTAGATCTAACACCGTATACCAGACATGGCTTGGGGGTAAGGTGCTGAGCAAGTTGTAGGGATTCGGCACCGTGGGATGTATGTCCTCTGTCCTCCAGTTAACTTCTCGTAAATCTTGTACCGGCCGGTAATCTCCTGTGCCGGGTTTTTTTACGGGTAATAGAGGAGTATTCCAGGGCGACTGGCAAGGTATTAAAATGCCCAATTGTAATAGTCTCTGTATATGGGGCCGAATGCCTTCTTTGGCCTCTTAGCTCATTGAATATTGCAGGATCGATATGGGGGTGGCCGAGGGTTTTAAGTTTATAATTATGGGCGGCTGGTTTACAGCTAGTCCCATTCCGGCCGTTTCCACCCAGGCCTGAGGGTAGTTAGTGAGCCATTCAGAATCCAGGGGCTGCACGGACGGTGGAGAGTCCTCGTGCAGCCGGTGTTCATCCTCTAGGCGCAAGGTCAGTACCTGGAGGGGCTGCCCTTCTGCGCCAGTAATAGTGGCCCCTTTTTGCTGAAAATGTATCTGGGCCCCTACTTTTGAAAGAAGGTCTCTGCCTAGGAGAGGGTAAGGGCAGTCTGGGACCAGTAAGAAGGAATGCGTTACTTGCCCAGTGCTCAGGTGGACCTTCTGTTCGGTTGTCCATCGATATAACTTGCCTCCAGTTGCCCCCTGAACCCAAGACGTTTTAGAGCTCAAGGGTCCTTTTGCCTCAGTTAAAACTGAATGTTGAGCTCCCGTATCGACCAGGAAGGTCACCGGCTGTCCCCCCACTTTAAGGGTTATCCGAGGCTCCGGGGGGGGTTCCTGGCCCTGACACCCCTAATCTTCATCTTCTAGGGACAAAACAGGAATGGGCTTCTTTTTAGGTCCCTGCGTTTGGCCCTTCCTTGGGCAATCTTTAACCCAATGTCCTTTTTTCTTGCAGTAGGCACACTGGTCTCGTTCAACCCGTGGTCCTCTTTTGTCGCCCAGGTCCCTACTCTGTCCTGACTTACTCTGCCCTGAGCCCTGTACTACGGTGGCCAGTATCCTAGTCAGCTCTTTATTACGTCTTTTATCTCTCTTATCCTCCCGTTCCTCTTGCTCTTTACGGATCCTTTCCTCCCTTTCCTCTAGAGTTTCTCGCTTGTTAAAAACCTTCTCTGCCTCTTTCACTAAGTCCTGTAAGGTGTACCCCTGAAGTCCCTCCAACCGTTGTAACTTATTACGAATATCCGAGGCCGACTGTCCAATGAAGGACATAATTACATCTGGTTGGCGGTCTTCAGCCAAGGGGTCAAAGGGAGTATACATGCGGTAGCCTTCTATTAACCTCTCCAGAAAACCTGCCGGCGTCTCCTCTTTTCCCTGCACTATAGCACGTACCTTTGCCAAATTGGTGGGGCGACGCCCTGCCCCTTTGAGACCCGCTAGGAGTACCTGGCGATAGAGACGGAGCCGCTCCCTACCAGCAACAGTGTCGTAGTCCCAGGTCGGGCGAACCAAGGGGAAAACATCCTCAATCTCATTAGGCAGCTGGGTGGGCCTCCCATCCGCCCCCGGGACGTTTTTCCGAGCTTCGAGTAGCCGCGCTGTCTCTCCTCCGTGGTGAGGAGAGTCTGCAGGAGCTGTTGGCGGTCATCCCAGGTCGGCTGCAAGATAATGTCAATATTAAAAGCTCCGTTCCTGGGCCACCCGACGTTGGAAGCCGGCCACTCTGAGGAGCAGAAGGTGACCCATCTTCGTCTTCTGACTTCGACCGAAAGATTGTGTGCCCGGCCGGCGACTTCTTTCCAGTGATCTAGAGTGAGGCTTAAAGGGGTGGTTACAGTCTGCCCCATGGGTGTAGAGAAGAGGTGAGCGGTGAGGAGGAGGACAGGAAAGGAAGAAAAACACGGAACGAACAGACGCACACGAACGACAGGACTGGCGCGGCAGATTCAGATGGGAGCGGTCGCGAACCACGACCCTCCCCGAAGAGGAGGGAGTGCCGGGGCTCCGTTCCTCTTCCAGACCACTCCGGAGTCCGACTCCGGAGGGGGACCAGGGGTCTCGGGCACGTCTGCCTCCCCCGCTGGTCCAAATACAGAATACAGAGTACAGCGTCCTGCAGGCACAATACAGACCCGGCCAGTCAGACAAACGGACGAGACAGATATGACATTTAGCGAGCTCGGTCTTACCTCCTACCGGTCTTAGGATTGAGTCTGGGGCGTCTCAGATCCCGGACGAGCCCCCAAATGTTGGACCCTGGCTCACGGGTGCCAACGTGGCCCGGTGGACGCCCCAGAGACCCAGACCCCAGACAGGCAGATGCAATTAGCAAGAGGGTTTATTGAACGTTTGCGCAAACGGGCTCCCCGCCTCCGAGGAGGAAAAGAGCCCCGATTAGCAATTACAGGGATCTTTTAAAAGGCAAAAGGAAAGAAACTGCCTAAAGACAAAAGAACCGCGGGAGTCGCTGAGCATCCAGGTTGATTTTGGGGAGGGTCAACATGAACCTATTCAGGGACATTCCAATCAGGGTGTGTGTGGGGGGGAACGGTTTTCTTATTGTAAACAGAATGCTTTTAGTTGCTAAAATTTCAGGAAGAAGACTGGGTGGACTGCCTCTGGATTAGGGCTGGCCCTACTTACAAGGGGGGAGGTTTCTTCATATAAAATGAAAATAATATCTTTCTATGTTGTATTCGTATAGATTCAATTCAATAAAATAATGCATATAAAAATTTAGCTCAGTGCCTTGCACAAAATGAGAACTTAGCAAATGTTCTGTATTCAAATTCTTGGGACCCAAGGTTGCAAAAAATGGGACTTCTATGAAATGGAAGTGGAAAAGGCTAGAAGCTACATTCAAGAAACAAATATATTGACAGGTACAACGTTACAACTCCTGGACCTGAAACAGAGGTCACTGAAATATGCATTTGGACACTGATTCAGCTAGTAGAGCAGGAATATACACAAGGACAAAAATGCTAGCAAGGAAAGGTGGAGTCTTCCCCCAAAAGCCTCTGAGTTTCTGAAGATGAAAAGGTACGGGGAACAGCACAGCTAGAAAGAACATGTCTTCCTCACCTGTGTCAGTCTGGATCCAATCAGGACAAGGAAACCACATAGTAACTTGAGCAAGGAAAATTTAATAAAAAGATTGGTAACAATGACAGGGAATTGACTAATAAGAAGTAAAGAAAACTATGAGGAACACAGGTACAGTACTTATTAGAAACTCCTACTAACCCCCACTGCCAGGGATCACCCAGAAATAAGATCTGGGCTTTGCTGACAGGACACAGTGGTAGCCCACAGAATAGTAGAGGAGTCACTGTGGTTCTCCATCAATAAAACTTGCTGGGAATCTGCCCACTAGGGGGCTAAGAAAAGCTGTTCGTGGGGAGAGGGCTAGGAAAACTGCCTGAGGGGGTGCCAGTAAACTGCGGGCACCTAGGTGCTGCTTGCTGCCATGCAATGTAGGAGCTTAGTGCTAGAAAATCATGAATTCTGCAGAATCCTGCCAAGCAGGCACACTGGAACCAGAATGCAAAACACCTTCTGTCCAAAAGTGTCTCTCAGTGCCCTCTACAAAAAAAGCTTCAATGCTAGCTGGCAAAGGGACAACGTTTAGAGGACTCAAATCCACTCTCATAGAGCAGTCAAAAAGAATGAATTCAATAACTGGCACACAGTCCTTCAGTCGATGAAATTTTCCAAATAGATCAACAGCAATTGACCTTTACTTTCCACTTACTTCCACAGTGACTACCCATTTAGATTTTGCTTGTCACCAGGGAACAAGTTTGATGTAGGTCTTCTCTAACCCCCTTTGTTCTACCTCCTCCTTGTGAAGCTTTCATTCTCCAAATACATCCAGGAAGAGCTATCACTACTAGTCATTCACTTCTCCATGTAATCAGATGAGAATTAGTGCAGTGGTTGTCATAGTGTAGTTTTTTTCATCAGTGTCCACGAATTTTTTAGAAATGCAGATCTTTAGGCTCCAATTGAGACCTATTGAATTAGACCCTCTGAGAGAGCCCAATCACCAGGTGAAACTGATGTTCATTAATGTTTGAGAAACAC